CCTTACCTTTAATATAATACAGCAAAATATAGTTAACTTTTGAAAGTTTACTAAAAAGAACGTAAAATACTTTGACTGTGAAAACATCTAGCATAAAACAATAAACAATTAGTACTTTAAAAACAATATTGTAATTTATCATTAAATAAAATATTTTAAACATAAAAGTTTATTTATTTATTTATTTATTTAATTTTTTAAAAAGATGACTGGTAAGGGGATCTTAACCCTTAACTTGGTGTTGTCAGCACTACGCTCTCCCAAGTGAGCCAACCAGCCATCCCTATATGGGGATCCGAACCCGTGGCCTTGGTGTAATCAACTCATACTAACCACTCTCTCCCAACACGGGCCGGCCCCATCATAAAAGTTTATTTTCCTCTAAATAGGCAGGACATTAGAAATTTAACACTCCAGCAAAGTCAGAAAACAGGACTTGTCGCTGTCCCTGCGTNCCTTACCTTTAATATAATACAGCAAAATATAGTTAACTTTTGAAAGTTTACTAAAAAGAACTTAAAATACTTTGACTGTGAAAACATCTAGCATAAAACAATCAACAATTAGTACTTTAAAAACAATATTGTAATTTATCATTAAATAAAATATTTTAAACATAAAAGTTTATTTATTTATTTATTTAATTTTTTAAAAAGATGACTGGTAAGGGTATCTTAACCCTTAACCTGGTGTTGTCAGCACTACGCTCTCCCAAGTGAGCCAACCAGCCATCCCTATATGGGGATCCGAACCTGTGGCCTTGGTGTAATCAGCACCGCACTCTCTCCCAACACGGGCCGGCCCCATCATAAAAGTTTATTTTCCTCTAAATAGGCACGACATTAGAAATTTAACACTCCAGCAAAGTCAGAAAACAGGACTTGTCGCTGTCCCTGCGTGCCTCAATATACCTATACTGTAGGCATAGCAACAGCTTTTATATACCACCATTTTTATGCTTCAAAAAACAACGAAGAAAAGTATAAGTGCTGATGAAAGGAATAAGTTAACAACTATTATAAAAATGTAAAAAACAAAAAAATCTCTCAAAACAACAAATTAAGAATTCTGAAATACCATTGAACTACTGCATGTTGAAGTTTAAACTGTCCATTCTGCAATACTGAGATATATTGGTAACCAACACCTTTTACCACAGAGACTTTAGTATCTTTTAGAATATGAAAAAAGAAATGCGAACATTTTATGTAATTAATAAAACTGCAACTGTTCTTTTTATAAAGGTTGAATTGGATTTTGATAAATCCTCGAACAACAGTACGTAAGTTTTCGAAAGAAAAAATATAAATGTTCACATTTAAAAAAAAATTTTATTGAATCATACTTGATTATACATATTTTTGGGATTCAACATTGACATGTGTTGATCAAATAAATATTACTAGCATATACAGTTACAAATCATACTTATTCTTTATGCCCCTTGTCCAATCTTTCCCCATCCCCCTCTGCCTCCCTCGTTCCCCCTCTAATTACCCTAGATTTCTTCTCTCCTTCTGAAAGAATAATGGTTACTCTGTTGATGTGTTGCCTAGATGATCTGTCCAATGCTGACAGGTGTGTTCAGGTCCCCCAATATTATCATAGAGCAGATGCTTCTTTTGTCACTCTGGAATGAGCTTTTTAGAGAGAGAAGTCCTCTTCTTTACTTTGGTCTCTGCTGGTGACTCTCCTTGTGTCAATGCACTCCAGTGGC